GGGGTGATGGGGCATCTTCCAGTGGAGGAACAGCAGCCTGGGGTTTTGGAGACCACAATTCCTGTTTCAGCCAGAAACTGTCATTTATTAGCTTTGTGACATCAGACAATTTCTCTAAACCTGCTTACTCAACTATAAAATGAAGATAATATTAGGATCTGTCCAGAAAGTCTGAGATTATGACTAAAACAGAACAGTATGGGCAAGGGGACATCCTACCTGTTAATGTCATCACTGTAAAATCCTTTCTTATCCTTCTGGGACCATCTAGCACCTAGTACCTTAAAGATTCTCAGTAAATAGGTATTGGATTAATGAGTAAACATAATAAAATGTGCAAACAAAGGTAATGGTTCATCTACGAAAGATCAAGGCTCGACAAACATTTCAAACACTATGACACCTGCTAAACAACAGTTGGAGGTCAGGTAACACAGAAATGAGAATCATCTCTTTCATATTTTACCAATTTCTTGTAGCTAGGTAAGAAAGTCTGCAAGACCAAAGGGAAAATCTCCCTCTCCTAGACAGTATCTTTATTTAGATAGGGTATTTCTGTGTTTGTGTGTGAAGGTTGAACCCAGCGGTGCTCTACCAATGAGCTACACATCCAGTCCTTTTTTATTTTATTTTGAGACAGTGTCTCCCTAAGTCCCTGAGGCTGGCCTTGAACTTGCAATCTTCTGCCTCAGCCCCTGGAATCACTGGGATTACAGGTGAGCATCACCCTGATGGCAAAAAAAAAAAAGGCTTTTGAGGGCTGGAGGTATAGCTCAATTAGTAGAATGCTTGCCTTGTGTGCACAAGAACCTGGGTTCAATCCCCAGCACCATACAGATGATGATGGTGGCCACACTTGACCCGGCACTGCACACTGTATGACAGCAGTGGCTTGCCAGCTGAATCACCAATTACAGTTTCAAGGCTGTAAAATGCTCTTGCTGTTTTAATGCTCTTCCCATCCAGTCTGCTAATGCCACCTGTCCAATCACCTGTGTTGGGCAAAGGCCTGAACTCTCACTCCACCTCCTAACCTGGTTGGTAACTTCAAGCCAAAAAAGCATTAGCAGGACAACTAGCAGTGCTCAGGGCAGAGAGGACAGAGTCCTTCCCAGCTGTCCCTGTTTAATGCATCCTGAAAACCACTGCTCATCCCCTTCAAATCACTGTCACAACAACCTTGAGATATCTAGGAACCTCCAAGTCAAGCAAAGCTCAAACCCAAATGCATTCACTCAAATTCTAGTGATGGTTTCTGCCTGCTTCTTTGTTAAGCATTGAAGACACATGAAACAAGCTGGACAGGTTGTGCAAGGAAGCCCAGGGGAGAGATGAATGAGCACCAGTAGCTAAAGCAAAAGCATCTGGGGAGCACTTGAGCTTCATAGATTTCCTCCCCAGACTTCCTCCCTTGCTTAATGTAATCAGAGACCATTCCAAAGCAACTGGCTTTCTCCTCCACCTTCCCAAGGCTCCACATAAATACTACAACCTCAGGGTAGGCTCCTCTGACTCACCATTAGAGAAATCCTCTCCCACACACCTTGCATATTTCCTCCATTGCATCTATCTCACCGGGGAGATAACTGAATACCTTCTTGTGAATTTCTTTTTGGTGATTAGTGATTAGAATGGAAATGACATAAAGACAGAAACTAGGGATCTAGTCCATCTTTGCATATTAGGCCCTGGGAATTGAGGAGCCTCCCAGTTAAGTACTGAGTGAATATTAGTGATATCATTTTCTCCCTCATCACCAGTTGCCTCTCCCTGCATGTCTCTGGTCTGATTTCAATAGGACTACACACTCCACGTGCTCATCTACCACCAGTTTTCAAACTCCAATTAAACTTACACACACATCTGCTTTATTTGTATACCTATTCATCAGCACTTAACAGGGCCTCCATTTATTATAATCTGTACTAAATATGAGAGTGAAGTTGGTTTTTTTTTTTTTTTTTTGGGGGGGGGTACTGGGGATTGAACTCAGGGGCACTTACCACTGAGCCACATCCCCAGCCCTTTTGATATTTTATTTAGAGACAGGGTCTTACTGAGTTGCTCAGGGCCTTGCTAAATCGCTGAGGTTGGCTTTGAACTCACAATCCTCCTGTCTCAGCCTCCTGAGCTGCTGGGATTACAGGTGTGTGCCACTGTGCCCAGCTGATTTTTCTTAGAAACAAGCTCAGGGGCAGGATCACTTCTAAAAAAAAAAAAAAAAAATTAAAACCTCTATGTTCTAGTTCCTAGTGTGAAAAAAAAAAAATGAGAAAGTTGTTAGAATTTCAGAAATTTTGTTTTAAAAAATGAAGCTGGGCCAGGCATGGTGGTACATGCCTATAATTTTAGCCACTTAGGAGGCTGAGATTTGAGAATCACAAATTCAAGGCCAGCCTCAGGAAATTAGTGAGAACCTGTCTCAAAAAAAAATTTAAAGTATTTAAGGGTATAACTCAGTGGTACAGTGCCCCTGGGTTCAATCCCTAATACCAAAAATTGATGGATAAATGAAATAGGGAGGTTATGAAGGAAGGGTCCTTACATGTGATTGCTTGATATAACTATTGCAAAAGACTCTGCTGGAACCACTAGCTTGCAGAGTCCATCATGACCTTGGACAAAAAGTAATTCTACAAGGACACCTGCCTGGCTATTGCCAGTTCAACCTGACCGACACCACTCTCCTTGTTAATCATTGTGGCCAAGGATTATTTAAAAATATCTGATGTGATCCTTCTCATTTTTATCTTCAAAAACTTTCCCTTGCCTCAGCCTCTGCATACGCTCATAGTTCACTCCGGCACCCATATCCCACTATGCTGGACTATTCTTAATATCACTCTTCCTTGGAGAATCTGATGTTATTTCAGATGGATACTAGGTTGGGGCTCAGCATCCACCCACCTGTCATACTTATTGCAAGAGCAGATGCAGAAACAAGCCAGCTTTTGCATTTATTCTACAGATAAAATTGCTGTATTTGTTTAATAGGCAGTTTTCCTGGTAAATTCAGTAAAAGGAAAAGCCCCCTGCACATATTGTGGGTCTGTTCATTTTTCAGACCCTTTTAAATGCTTTGGAACATATCATTTTCCTACATTAAGCAAGCTCAGTCCCCTTAGAAAAAATAGGCACAGCAGTCTCCACCAAAACCACCCAAGAATAAATGCACAGTCTTCTTAGGTTCTCCTTCCTCTGCTTCCGCAATGAGGCCAATGACAAATTAGACTCCCACACCGGGGCTTTCAAAATGACTTCATTACTGCTCGAGTTTCCTATAACCTTCAGCATTCAACTTCCTTATTTAAGATCCTCATAGAAGCTTGTTGACAAAGCCCAGGTATTTGAAAACTCTTGGGATTATGGTGGCTTCAGCCACTGGCATAGGGTGTGCTAAGGCCTCTGGGGTTCCACATCTTCCCCCTACCAACTGCTGGCAACTGCATTGCTGCTTATCATGCCGACAGCACCATGTGATCACATCTGCCCATTGCTGTAATCAAATCATGTGGTGAGCATGCTCCTTTTAACTGGCACTCAAACCACCTACCCATGACACAACATGGGTTACCGAACAGCATAACTTCTTGGTGTAGACTCCACAATGAGAACATGGTTTCCAGCAATTTTTGCATTGATTCTGAAAATCAATGTGTACTGAGAATTTATGTTTATAAGATGTTTTTCATGACGGATAGCTTAAAAGCAATGGGTGATTAATTCTCACACCATAAATGCAAGGTTTTGAGTCACTAAATGAATTCATCAAAATGTTTACTAAGCAATGCAAAGATGATACATATTAACATTCTGAGAAACTATAGTAAGCTCAATAGCTTGAGCTTGGATCAAAAATATCAGAAAATAGTACAATATACAAGTGGAAAAATATATGAATTCAGTGTTCCCTAATAGATGGCTTATTAGAAAACCTCAAGCATTTTTCAAAAGAACTTGATGGGTTTTATTTTAATAAGACAGAGTGAAGAGGAAATGGCTTAAAAGATATCATCAATCTTTTATTTAACTAAGCACTGCCCTTCATTTTGAAGGAAATGATACAATTTCAAATTGGAACTTCCTTCTCAAGAAGTGGTATAAGAACATAACATTGATTTAACATAAAACCTTCAACAAAAAATAAGGTTTATACAGTTTACTGGGAAATAAAATGCATAAGAAGTTCATCCTGTTAGTGTAATTCTCCATGGCTCACAAGAACAAAACAACATAATGAAAAATTGAATAAACCAGTCAAGTTAGAGTTATCCTGATTAAAAAAAAAAAATTCACAAGTAAAATCTAACTTTCCAAACAAATCTTACGACTGTGATCACACAAGATTGTATTCTAATTTGTAAAAAATGGTTAGACAAGCACATAATATCAAGAGTCTTCAACACAGTGAATCTCAGTGTTAAGGAAAACAAAACAAATAGTCCTTAAATTTTCTTAGCTCTCCATAGCATATGTCATATAAAATTAAAAGTTTTGCTTCCAAAAAATATGTTCCATGTGGTTGTCATGTGGTCCAATGGTGCTATTAGTGCCCGAAGCACCAGGGACACAAGAAGTATAACCACTGAAGTGTTTTTCCTCATAAAAACTAAAAATTTTCTTAAAGGTCTGGAATAAAGTCTTCTGCTAGGCATTTTAGTGCTACAAAGTCATTTTAAATTAAATGTGGAATAAAAGCTACAAAAACTATGAGTTCTTTTAATATAAAAAGTTGTGTAGCTGAAGTTGTGGGCTTCTTTGACACACATAAGCAGTCTCAATAAAATATTTGCTCAGGTAAGAAAATAGAATTTGTCTGGTTTCATTTAGCCTACGTTCCAGTCGATGTCCTGCTTATCCCTGCCAGAGCTTCTGAGGAATATTGGAATCGATATTTCTTTCCTTCAAAGAGCATCCGTAATTCACAGTACAAAATAGTTTTAAAGTCTTATTCCTAAGGAGAAACAAAAATTATTAAATATATATATATATTTTTTTTTTCTAAAGTGCCAGATGTAGCCTTTGCCGGGGCATTAAAAAAAAAAAAAGAATCACTTCTCCACAACACTGCCATCTTAAGAACCAAGAGTTGATCTGACCCTCTTTCTTGGAGCCTTCACCAGTTGGTTGTGGCTTTTCTTTAAGCATTATACGCCTAAAAAAATTTCCAGTGGAATCCCCTATTCCTAAGTATTACACATTTAGCATCTCTGGTGCCCCGTAGAAACACTGGCACTATGTTCCAGGAAGGATCATCTGGCACAGATCTATTTCCTATTCTAGTCCATTTTCAAGCCATTATCAAAAGCCTCTTCTTGGAGTGGTCTGCTCCTTAACTGAGCACACAGTAGCTCAGTGGGTTTTATAGGCGCTTTTCCTTCAAGTTGAGACTTTCAAGGCATCTCATTTTGAACAAAACACACTCACTGCTACACTCAGTGTGACCAGCAGACGGAGGTGGAGGGGGTGTTCTCTAGCCCAGAGTTGTGGGGCAGTGACAACTTTTTCTTTTATTTCCTACCACCTGGACAGTGGTCCTCCCATCTGTTAGATATAAATTCTCCTAAATGTCTTCACCCAATTTTAACTTGTACTGCTCTTCCATGAGCGAGAGAATATGAATGCAAAGCTGTGAGTATTAAACATGAAAACTAGACCTCCATTTCCAAGGGAGACTGGTTTTCCTTCAAAGTCAAGCAGGGCTAGAGTGTGGTTCACTTTTAACAATCAAAGGAACAGGACCTGTTTGGTGATCATTGTTAAATTAGGAGCACAGCTAATGCCCTATGACAGAAAGGTTTCATGGTGGGATATAAGAAGATCTGGGCATTTAAAAATTATGGCCTCAACTTCTATGTCTGAAAAAAGGAAGCAGACAAGAAAATCCTTAAGTCTCACTGCCTTGATTTAGAGCTCTCCAAGCAAAAAGCCCAAGGATGAAAAGGTGGTTGTGGATTACTCAAGTAGGGCTCTATTCCAGCTGTTAGGCTGCCACTACCAGGTGCCATAGCTACCAACCTATGTTTTAGGGCTGTCATCAGATTCTGTGCTGACTACACCAGGTGGCATCTGTAATGGAGGTCACCCCTCTTAACTGCAAAAGCTCTGAAGGGGTGCTCTCCAAGCAACAAGGAGACTGTCGCAGTATTAATAAGACTTTGCCCCTTGAATTAAAATGCATCAAGTGTGGCTGGCAAAATAAGTATCCTCCTAATGAAACAGGTCTCAAGCCCAAGATTTTACCACCAGCAGCAGAACAGGAGAGAAGGTGAGGGAGATGGGCCAGTGAGAGGAAAATTTTTTAAAAAGGAAGAAAAATCACAGGATCACCACCAAAGCTATTTTTGAAAGGGCAGGAAGGAAGTCAAAGAGGAAATTAACTAATTCTTGCCAGGGCAGCACCGTTCAGCTGCTTCCCTAGTGGATACTTTATGGGGTGGCACAAGCCAACCCCATCTGTGACCTGTGGACCAGCAAAAGCAGGTTTAATTAGATCACAGACACAAAGGGCTATTCTCTCCTTTGCTAACAAATAACTGCAGCTCTAAGTGCCTACAACAGCAGGCAGAAAAACAAAGGCGCAGAACTGAACCTTAATTGAATCCTTCCCCTGACTGGCCCTTGACAATGATTTACTTGTAACCTGGAAAGGGGCGGGTGGAGCAAGAGACTAAGCTCCGGAAGACGAATTACTTGAGGATGGAGAAGGGAGGTAGTTTGTTCAACTATTTGTTACACTTAATAGGGGGCTGCTTGGTTTTGGTCTGATGGTCACAGACCACGTCATGGTTTCACCAGCCTAGCGCCCCAGGAATCCCATAAAATAAATCACACCAGCCTTCTGGATCCCACTCACAGCTCAGCGGGGGAAGATGAAAAGCAGCTCTAGGCGCTGGCCATGGTGGCGCCTCCCCAACCCCCCTCTGGCCTTTGTACCAGGCATGCTCTGAGCTCAGTGTAGACGGGGAAGCAGAGGCAATGGCAGGGCTCTGATAGGTACTCTGAACTTTTCTCCAACCTTGCGTGTTTAAGGGTCGATTCTGAACCCAGATTAAGCAAGTCTTATCGTTCAGTTCATCCCACAACAGAAAGGAAGACAAGCCTGAGGGGGCCTGGAAGGAAATACTATCCACTCAAAAGTACTCCTACCTGCTCCCTCTGTTCCCTTCCTCCTTCCCTGTTCACAGCCGGCTGCGTATTTCTCCAACTCTCCATTTTCCAAAGGGCCCAGGAATCCCAGTGGGGCCCAAGTGGCGGCAGAGGAAGGAGGGAGGAAGGGAGGAAGAGGAGATGAAAAGGGGCAGCAGCTACTGCAAATAGCTCCCTCTTGCAGCGCTGCCCTCCACTCGCCCGTCAGTGTGCCACTGCCTCTCCATCCTCCCCCTCCAAGCCTGGTGAAGGGGTGGGCCTGGGAGGCGGCGTAGTCCGCGCCACATCGCTGTCGCCCTCGTCAGGCTCCGCTGGGTGCAGGTGCATGGCGAGCTCCTGCAGAACCGCCGCGCGTCCGATCTGGTCGTTACGCCGCTTCTCCATGATCAAGTCCTCCAGGCTCTGGAACTCCAGCGTGTGGCTGCGCTGAGCCGAGAGCTGAATCTGCAAGCGGTAGGGCTGCTTGCCGATGCGCAGCTCGCCGCCGATCTTGAACTCGCGCTTGCCATAGCGGCACCAGGCGGCAAAGCTCTCTGAGTTGCGCCAGCTGAGCTCGCGCTCCTTGGCGCCCACGTGCGCCAGCGCGTTGCGCACCACGGTACTGGGGCTCAGAGGCTTGTAGCGGTACAGATCGTTGACCACACGGCCGCGTCGGCCCTGGCTCGCGTCAGTCAGAAAGCTGTTGCTCACCTCCAGCCGGTGCAGGTGGACCACCTGGAAGTTGCCCACGTATACCGCCCAGTGCGGGTACTGCGCCTGAGACACAAACTCCACCAGGTCGCCTGGATTGCACTTGTTGAGCAGGTTCTCCGGTGTGTAAGTGCTCAGCGCCGCCGAGCCCGGCGCAAAGCTTTTCTGGTAGATGCACTCGTCGCGATAGAACACTGAGCACTCTACCTCGTGTAGCCGCGGGTCGTAAGGCTGCGGCGGGGGTAGCGGCGGCCGCTCCCCACAGTCAGGCAAACCACCGCCATCCGGCCCTTGGGGCGGTGGCTGTGGCTCCACGTCCTCGTCGTCATTGGAAAAGATATAAGAGACACCGATGCGGGGACCGTCGTCCCGGTCCACACCAGTAGGGTCGGCCGTTGGAACTTCCTTGTAACTTAGGTGGGTCAGTTTCTCCACCTGGTTGCCCATCACGCTGTGGACACACGTTCACACCGCCGCGAGGGGAGAAAGCGAAACCGCCACTAGGGTCATTGGCACAGGTCCCCGGACAGGGGCTGCGGCCACCTGTTGGAAGAGAAAGCAAGAAAGCCATATCTGTAAGAGTCCCTCCAGGTAAAGGACATTTTGTTAAGAGAAAAGAGAGGAGACCGAGCACCTGGGGCCATTTTAGGAGAGTCGCGATCGTAGCGCGCCTTTCTCCCCCTCTAAGGTCGAGATAACAAGAGATAAGGCAACTCCAGCTCTCCCCCGCCACCAGCATTCACCTGGTCGGGGCAAAAGCCATTGCATCAGTGGCTCTTGCCACTTCCGCCCGCGCCCTACCTGCCAAGCCCAGGCAGGAGGGAAGAAGGAAATAGAAACTTTACTCCAATCTCCCCTTTCCAACTCCCACTCCCACTGCAGGCCCTAACTGGCCCGGGAGACGTCCCTCAACGCCTTCCTCCCCGGGAAACACGCGAGGATTCCGCAGCGCGGCCCGGGCAGGTGAGCCTCCCCACCTGGCTCACCTGCGGCGCTTCCTCCTCGGGCGCCTTTCCCCTCCCCCGCGCTTGCCCGCCCTCGGCTTCGGCTTCGGCTTCGGGTTACCCGCGCTAACTCACCCGCAGGGAGGTGGAAGCCGAGGGAAATTGGGAGGGGCCCCTTGCCGCACCCCGAGACTTCTAGGACGAGTTTGCGGGTGTGGGCTCCGCAGTCCCTCCTCGCCCAGCACCGGCGGCAGAGACGCTGGGCAGGGGGTAGAGAAGCATGTCTTCCCGCGGCTGCGTGGCGCCCCAAGATTTGAAGGTGGGGGGCAATTCCTGTTCACACCGCGCCCCCTCCCTCCCGCAGGCCCTGCTGCCCGCGCTCAGCCAGCTCTCGAGGGACGTGGGGCGCGAGGAGAAGGAGGCAGCCTCGCTTCCCGGCGGCGGTAGCTCCCGCTCGGGCCGCGCGAGCAACAAGCGCCGGAGCGGGAGGGACGGATTGTAGATCCGGCTCGGGGCTCCCGGGCGGGAGCGCAGCCCGTGGCATTTAAAGAGACAGGCGCTAGCTCCAGAGCTCAGGTCTTTCCCACACGGTGCTGAGCCGCCGGGATCCCCACCCCCGCCCCGCCCACCCGGGCCACGGGGCTCCGCCCGGGCCACGCCCCCTCCAGAGCGGTTTAAATCCTGCTGATAAATACGCAACCCTCTAACTGGGGCCGGCCCCCTGCCCAGGCCCCTTGGTGCTCTAAGAAGTTGAAAGGCAAAAGCCACCTGCCAGTCTAGAAATGAGGAGGAGAAGGAGAGTTAGTGTTGCTTCTTTTCCCTTTCATTTCTTCTTTCTCAGTACCTGGAGAGGAAGGAGCAGAGTCACCAGGGCTTTTGCTTATTTCTTTCCTTGTCCAGAACGTTATTTCTCGACCTCAAGATCATAGGAAGAGAGTCTTTACTGGCACAACTCGGAGAAGCTCTTCAGCTCAGAGGCATTTCCAGTACAAGTAGTTTGAACTTTGGGGTAGAAAACAATTCAGAGAAAGGAAACGGTGTAAAACAGAATGAAGGCAGTTACTGGCTGGCATCTAAAACCGGTGCGCTGTTTATTACGTGTCCCTCGAAGTTATACAAAGTTCATTTCATAACCTCTGTTGTTTCTAGAGAGTTACCAGTTTGTTGAATCCTGAGAAGAGTCATGTAGTCATCGCAGCTTTTCTTGGGGGTGGGGGATGTAGGAATTGCCTAATTGTCCTTGAATTAGAAACAAATTAGCAGAGGCCCCTGGTGGATATATTTCCTTCCTGCTGACTTTGAGAAGGAAGTGACAGGAGTATTTGCTTATTAACCTCCACCACAGAGGACATTTTACCCCCTGCTGGCTTCATTTCTTGTACCTAAGATGTAGGCTACCAAAGTGTGTGTGTGGGGGGGGGGGGTGTATTTATTTATTTATTTGAAATAATGGGCCCAGACTGGGGTTGAGAATTGTGGGCTTTGTTTACAATGGACAAGTTTAGGAAGTCCCCAAAACTAATTTCTAAGAATGCAACATATGACCTATACCCTGTTTTCCATCATTGTTTCTTCTAACTAAATTTTTCCAAGTAATGCTATTATTTATTCAGCATGTATACCAATCCCTGGAAACAGAAATATACTACTACTGTGATCCTTTTTAGTTTGAGAGAATAAAAAAATCAATCTACTTATGTACCTTTAAGCCAGAACAATCAATATTGTCAGAGCTGTGATGGAAATTAGTCCTTCAGCAAGTCTAAGATCACAGCATAAGCTAGACCAAAATGAAGCTTCTGTGTACTGCATGTGCAGATTCAATTGAAATATTTTCAGACTGGCCTCAGACACATGTAACTGGGTGACACTCCTCTGGGCTTTTAAATAACACATGCTCTGGGGCTGTTGCTAACTACCGTTGAGTGTGTGTAGCTACCCATTTTATAGGGAAGAGTTAGACTGAGACAAGGGCTAATCATCTCATGTCTGTCAGACTGGGAACCTCTGCTATGGCAGATGTGGTAGGCCACGTTGCCCCCAGGTGGCACTGAGTGGGTTGACCAGGATCTGAAAATTCATAGAAGGATACCCTTGAATGATAGTCTGCTGCCAAAGCTCTGAATCAGATCTAATGCTTGAGGTAACTAGGCCTAGTTGTCTAGCTGCCTCTCCTAATTTCTCAAGGCTATCTATTCAGGTGCACAGTAGTTGTTAATATCTAGAACTGACCAGTATAAAGTTTCAGAAGGAAGACACCTACACTTATCAGTTATTCAATAAATGTTTGATGGATGGTTGAGGGAAATTCTTGGCCATGGAGAAGAATTACTGCCTGATATGGCTGGGAGGAAAGAAGTAGTGGTGCACACCTGTAGTCCTAGCAACTCAAGAGGCTGAGACAGGAGAATAGTAAGTTCAAAGCCAGCCTGGGTAGCTTTGCAAAACCCTGCCTCAAAATAAGAAGATAGTGGAGATGTAGCTGAGTCCCCCTCCCACACATATACACACAACATGGATTCAGCCTCCAGTACTGAAAAATAATTGCTCTCTGGTTTTATAAGATAGTCAGTGAGTAAATGAAGAGATGATGCCTTTTGATAACCAGGGTCTGATAGATTCATATATTAATGACCACCTGGGACTCACTCTCCATCCAGTCACCTTGAGCCCGAGGTCAGAGGTTATAAAATGGCTCCCCAAACATGCTTTGCACATCTCAGTTATTGTTTAATACATTTTAAGTGTGTTGTCAGCAATTTGAAAACTTGAGAGAACTTATGAAAAGAATTCAGATTTCTAGCTTTACCTGATAAATCTGAGGCTGTGAGCCCATCAGGCCCATGATCCACAAAGAGCTGGCACTGAGTGACAGTTGCTTTGAGAGATGTGTTCTCCACTCTCCTTGCCTACCTGGGTCCCTTGCGTGGCCACCTCAGATTTTATCACTTGATGATAGGTAATTCAGCACCTGATCATATACTACTTAGTATTATTCTCTAATTCATATATTTTAAATATCTCTTCTAGAGAGAATTTAATTCAAAATATATTTTTGGATATACTTGGTATTATTATTATTATTATTATTATTATTATTATTATTATTATCTCCTACTAGTCTTATTCACTGTGCTATGTGTTTTACAATAGCTTGCTAAGCTTTGTAGATATTCCTGTACCCGCAGAATGGAACTCAGGGTTGTCGGATACAGAGACTCTTTAGGATACTGTGTCACGTCCTGGGAGAGGGGAAGTAGAGCAAGCTGAGGAGGTGAGCTGACTCTCAAGGCACATGGATACAGAGATAAATGATGGATAAAGTGCCTGCCATCAGGGGTCCTGGCCTGGTGGGGAAGTGCAACTCTAAGATTAATGATAGCTGCCATTGAGAGAACTCTTGATTCTTTTATAAAGAAGAATAAAATCTAGAGAATCTGTGGCTTCTCCCAACTGGTAAGTGGGAAGGTCACCACAGGTCTGCTTTGCTTCCAGGCCAATGCTTGTAACCCCTTGGTTTAAAGAGAGACAAGCAGATTACAAAATATTTAACAAATATTTGAGTGTCTAGTTTCACTGGGCTCCAGGGAGACAGCCATGGCAAAGTCCCTGTTCTTATGGCATTTACATGGTGATGGGACCAAGCAAATGATAGGTAAGAATGTCAGAGAGCAGGCTATGGAAAAGAATAATAGGGTCATGGGATTGAGTAAGTGTCACTAAGGAGAAAGTGATGAGAGGGGGCCTACTTTGGATAAGATTTTCAGGGAGTACTCCTAAGGAAGTAGAATCTGAACTGAGAATGGATGGATGGGAAGGGCTGGCTTTGGCATTCTCTCCAGAAGGAAGACCAAGAGCAAAGACCAGAGAGGGAGGATTGAGGATTTTTAGGGAAAAGGAAAATATATGGTAGGTTGTGAGGAGCACAGCAGTGAGAGCAACTGTTCTAGGGGACACAGGTGAAGAGGCAGGCAAGCCTTTGGAAGGCAAGGCTGTTCTGCTGGCTGCCCTGTGGAAAATGGACCACGGGAGAAAGAAAGGAAGCAGGTGCCACCAAGGGCCATGTCATGGAGAGGACAGGCAGAAGGAGCCTGGTGAGCAAGGAACAGCCTGTGAGAGTGCTGTCCCCCACAGCAGCCTTGACATATAGAAATGCTTGTTGGATTTGAATGTTCTGCCCTCTTGCAGCTCTGTCCCCCAGCAGTGACCTAAGTGCCACATTCCACACCCCTCCTTGGAGGAGACACTCAATAGAAACAAGCCCAGTTGAATGCCAGTTAGTCACCCTCATGGTATTCCTGTTCAGATGGGTGGGGAATAATTGAGAACAGAGGTTCCTACCTGACAAGGCCTGGACCCCTGTGTTACAGGGGGAGTGGAGGTCTTCATTGGAGTGAATGGTCTGCTCAAAGATTGTACGAAACAGGAGCAGGAGGGACAGCAGAGCTGACTAGGCAGTCTGGAACTCTCCCTCTCTCCAGTCTGGGCCCCAGGTCCATGGCAGCAGCACCCGGCCCATGGAGTTGGCTGAGAAATAGGGTCCTCTGCCTCCCTTACATTGGAAAACTCTCAGATTGATTTTGGCCTGTTATTAATTGCTAGAACCTTAGATGGGGAGCAGTAAGAAAGAAACCAGATGACCTTGTCCAGCATCCTGTTCGCTGGGCCTCTGAGGGAGGGCTGGTGATCCTCTTTGCCTCACTGTGGACCCCCAGCTAGGAAGTACCTTGTCGATCCTGAAGGCTGCATAGAAGCCAGACACAACTTACACGCCACAGTGAAAGCCAGATGATGATTCTAGTTTGAGAAGTGAAAGGATGACCATCTGTTGTGGGCATCTTCTTCCTCAGTCTCCATACTAATCCTGTGGCATTTCATAGATAAGAATGTCACACTCCATGTATGTGTAATACGTCAAAATACATTCTACTATCATGCGTAACTAAAAAGAACAAATTAAAAATTTTTTGAGGAAAGGAAGTCAAAGTCCAAGGGAGGTCAATATGGGACTCTTGCTCATTGTAAAGGAAGCAGCTAGATTCAAATCCAAATGTGTCTGGCTCCAAGTCTGTTTAGAATACTGTGTCAAGCAGCCTCAAGGATCACCAGCATATGTGTTTGTTTGCTCAGTCAAAAAACTGGCAGTTTTTTGACATGTCCTGGTTTGCCTGGGAC